CTCTCGTACTTTAGGCGTGATCCGAGCCTGCGCAGATCCCAGGGGACCGGGAAGGGGGCTCAGGCCCCTCCCTCTGAGCCCTGACCCAGGGCCCTAAGACTGGGACGTGCGTCCCATGTCAGTGGAGGGGGTCAAGATCCCCCAAAACCCTGCGAGTGGAGGGTCACGGCCCCGCCCTGGGTCCCTTCTTCCCGGTCAGTCCTCCACCGGCTCCCCCAGCATGGGGATAAACTTACCCTCCGTCTTCCATTCCGGAGGGCTTCTAGCGGCCTGGGCCTCTCTGGGCCCGGTCTCCTCGTTAACGCCTGGGGTTCCTCCCAGGGTCGAGCACTCCCCCCTTCCTGGCCGCCGCTGTGGCCCTTTTGAATTCCCTGCCGGTCGGCGTCTTGGGCCAACGTCACTTCCGTGTCTGTAGCCCCGCCCTCCTTGGCGTCCTGGCCTGCGCCCCTGCGGACATCACGGGGAGACGGACTGCGCTGCGGGCCATGCTGTGGGCCGCGCTGTCGCTCAGCGCAGTTCCCTGGGTCTCGGTGGCGCGCCCCCAGCCGCCTAATCCCCCTCCGGACCTTTGCCCCCTGCCTCGGTGTCCGTCCCAGGGCAGGGTAGAGCGGGTGGCCCGCCTGCCCCGTCACACCATTATTTAGAAAGGGTGACAACATACTTTGCCAGTGGCTTCAACTATAGGGCAGCTGGGTTCTGTTCCTGGCTGTGGGAAACAATGTAATCTAGGCTAGAAGACAATATAGCCAAGCACATTAGAGAGAATGTGCCAGAATCAAAGACAGTGGAGCTCAGAGGCTAGGGGACCAAGATTCTACTCACAGCTCTACCTCACTTGACTTTGTGGAACTCCTATTACCTAATTTATAGTTGGAGAGGACATGATAAATGGTAGCCTGCCACAGAAAGGAAGTGAGGCCCTTATTTATGAAGGGTTGTGAACTACACAAACATTTAAACATTTAGTAGAATGCATCAAACCAGAACTCTTGGCCTCCTACCTCCACCGTAGAGCATCTTCTCCTTGTTCAAAGATGATGTGGAGAACATCTCTTACCAAGCTATGGGTAGGCAAGACAGGCTTGCCAAATGCATGAAGTGACGGATACTGAGTAGGTCTGATTATTGATGTGAAATGAGTGACACTTGGCATGGCTGATTGTTGGTCTTTTAGCCTTGCTGCTCATCACAATGGGGTAGTGTGGCGGGATATTCAGATTCCCACATTGACTAGGAAGGGATTAACGAGAGCTTGGGGGCACAGTTAGCCCCATCCCATTATATCTATGCAAGTTGTCACACCTGCAATGATAAAAAATGAAAAGCCTAGCTCAGAGGTGACCAACAGAGAGGGAGTAGGCTTCTTAAGAACTTGTGAAGACAGGCCTGGCTGGGGCCAAGGCCTAACTAGCGTCTACCTTGATGCTGTAAGGAAGTAAAGACCAGCTGGGGTTAGAATAAAGCTAGAGCTGCCTTCTCAATGTCCTTGGGGCAGCCAGAAGTGGTGCAGAACCTGTTTCTCTTAGTTTCTCAGCTAGATTGGCTTTCCTTTGTTTTGGACTTGAAGAATGAGCTGGGGTGAGAAAAAGATTGTGAGAAAGACCTCGCTGCAGGCCACAGTGTGAAGTAGTGCAGGGATACAGCAGAAGGTCTGAACAAATGGACGTCATCTGCTTCAGTGTACCCAGTAGGCACCCCTAATCTCTCTTGGAAGGGGGGGGCATGAAGACCTCAGAAGCAAAGGATGGCAGGCCCCAAAAGCCTGAAGTTTGGCCAAATCTCTGGTATGATGCTGCCAGATCATTGGTGTATTGGACTTGGGTTTTCCCAAGAGGGGCAGGATTATGTGGGCACATCTACAAAGCAGGGAAAAAAGTCAAAATAAGCTATGCAACTTCATCTATATCAATTGCATAGCTTACATCAAAATAGCTTAATTCAGCTTTGGCACAGTCTACACAGCAGGAAGTCAAAGGAAGAACATTCTTCCTGACTTCCCTTACTCCTCATGAAATGAGGATTACAGGAGTAGAAGTCCTCCAGTTTGCCATTATTTTGAAACAGCTTGCAGTGTAGACACGCTCTTTGCGATTTCAAAATAATGTCAGTTATTTCAGAATAATGCTGCTTAGGTATACAGCCTCTGACTTGGCCAAGGCCTAGAATTGCAATCTTTAGTTTCTCGTGCTTGTGTTTCTGTACCTATATATTCCTCCATTACATTCAGAGTGCAACACAACACCTATGATATTTGATGCTATATTTTGGTGGGACGGGGAGAGAGGAAGATCCAGTTTCCTCACTGTTGTCACTGAATGGTCATCCTTTTCCTGCCTTAACACCATGCCCCCAGAAAGTTGTCACTGTCAGACACCATTCTCCCAGTAGTCTTCCATCTGTCTGAGAATCTTCCACTAGTCTAATTCCTGTATAGGAATGTGAATGGCTCCCTCACCCAAGAACTGAGAATGAGGCCTCAGTAGCACTTCTAACAGGAACAAGTGCTTGCCACATAGCAGTGCAGACTAACACTCAGCATCAAGGAAGGATCTGGTAACAATTTCCTACTACTTCATTGGCTACTTAGCTGGAATTGTATAGGGCCTTCCATTGCATAGGTGTGTACAAGATCAGTGCCTACAAGTGAAAGATTCAAATGAGATTAAGGAATAAGCATAGACCTTATTACTGGAAACAAAGTAAATCTCAATCCCATTTAGTGCTTACCGCCTATGGTTTTTTTACAAGTGGGTAGGGTAAAATAAGATGGGGGAAATAGATGGAAAAAGTGTTTCTGAATAAATTCACATCTTCATTCTTATTGCAATAAAAAAGTGCTTATCTAAGTAGGTTGGAGGCACCAGTATTTTCACTGGTCAGGACTAGGGTCCCCTGTACTACCTATCCTGCTCGTTACTTTGTGACGCTGTGCACAAGAAGAAAACATCTATGGAAAAAACAGAGCAAATATTCAGTCAAACCCACTCACTAATTTTGCATATAGAGCACTGGATTTTAACTAAAATTGGCTCTGCAAATTGGAATGTGAATGAGATACATACCCATTCCAAAAAACTATGAACATTAATATGTAAATCAATCTGAATTTGATCCCAGGATTGAAATATGATGGAGCATGGAATCTATCCTACCAAACTACGTGTCCTCAGTAGTCCTATCTTATATGAACCCGTTTTCTCCTGTTAAGTTCCTTGGTAGTCTAGTATTTAAAAATATCTGAGATTGAAGCTATACCAAGGAAGTTCTTGCCCTAATTCTCCACTACATCCAATCTAGCCACAGTAAAATTTAGTGGAATGGACAATCCAGCTCTTGATTAGACCTTCCTACTGATCTCTCTATAGCTGGAAGTGTGCAATACTAAGTCACATATGTTCTTGTAAGGGAGACTACACTAAGGAAAACAGTGAGTGACAGTAATGTGAGATTGTACACCATGGCATGACATGTAGGAATATGAGCTACTCTACATTCTTTGCTGTGGGGGACAATGGTGGGATCTCAGACACCAGTATGAGATAATGGTGATGTTTTAAAACTGACTATAGGGCTCACCATATTCATATGCAAATACAAAGAATATAACCAGCGCTACTGGGGTGAATCTGAGCAAAGAAAATTTAGACTTAATATTAGGAAAATATTTAACAGTAAGAGTCTATTAGGCTGTGGAATAGCCTCCCAAGGGAAGAGTTGGAAGCCTTATTGCTTGACTCATTCTAAAAGTAGCTTGCACAAAGTCCAGGAAAGTATAGTGTAGAGGAGAGAACAATGCTGCATTGGCAGGAGATGGACAAGCTTGCTTCATATGCCTTCTCTTTAAGATCTCAGCTTTTATAATTAAAAGGAAAAAATAATGCTAACAAACTCAATACCAAAGTCCTATACATTTCATCTTCATCTGATTCCAATTTAGGTTCTGAAATTACAATTTCAACATTACAGCTGCATTTAATATTCATAATCAAATGCAAAGCCAGATTTCCAAACCCCAGATCTGGGCTAGACTTTGCTATAACAAAGGTGACCGTATGTCCCATTTTGGCTCAGTCTTCCTTATAAGCCTGGTCTTAAATGTCATAATTTTATTGGAAAAAAAGAAATCAGTAAGAAGGAAAAATAGGGGACAAATGCCCAGTTCAGCCAAAAAGGTAGGGCCTGTCCCCCTAGTGAAGTAGAGGACCATTAGGGGTGGGGTGAACAGTGATGCCAGACCTTCATGGTGGGGCTCAGGTGACTGGCAACAGACAGTGCGGCTTGGGCAAGAAGTTGGGCCAGCCCCCAGTAGCAGCAAGGCAGAGGAGGGCAAAGGAGGAGCTTGGGCCAAACCCTCTGGAGTCCCATTTTCATTTTGAGAAATATGGTCACTGTTGCTATAGCCCATCTCGATTTTCAGGAAACTTGATTTGAGTCTGAAGTTTGGGCCAAGTGTGGAGCAGGGCCAGGGAGCGGTATTTATGGATTTTGGTGGAAACCATGCAAGACTCAGTTTCAGTATGATTTGGTTTCAGTATGATTTGGTAGTAATGGCTGAGGTATGCTTTCAGCTTTGCTCAGATGTGTAACTTGAGGCACTGTGAATGCTCATGAACCAAAACAGGAAAAAAAGTGTGTCTAAACCACTGAAAATATAAAATGCTTAATTTTGCCAAGCTGCAGTCAATATCTATTTATTTTTAATATAAATTGCACCCATGGCTCCTTCTTGCCAGTAAGTCTGGATGTAATGGTTTAAAAAAAAAAAAACATAATGACCTGAATGTTGGCCCAAAACACAAAATAAACTGAAGTCAGTTTGGTTGAATTTTCTTTCCATTGCATTTTTCATGCACCCAGAGTCAACAGCACCAAAATAGAACAAAATGCCCTATTTTATTTTTGAACTAATTAGAATTGGGAGGTTCAGAAATCTGTTGCATTCCTGTGAGATTTTTCTCTGATTTCTAGACCATTAAAATGAACAAATTATTTATTTACAGAGCTCGCTACTGTGCTAGGTATTTCATCATACAGCTAAATGATATGCTCACTGTTCCAAAGAGGAGACACTAACTGCAGCCAATAAATGCCAACCTCCTGCATCAACAGGTGAGAAACTGTTGGGGCCAGCACTGGAAAGTCCCAGTAACAAGGGAGGGCAACATTTGCAAATGGCAGTAAGAAGCTCTTTCCTCTGCAAGTCTTTGGCACCCACTGGCCAGCTGAGACAAGGGTGCTGCTTAGCCACCATTCCCCAGATTTTAGATTTTGCCCAGTGCAAGAACTATCTGGATCACTTTGGGCTCCATTCCAGCAGCCCACTCTACCCACACAAACAGAATAGGAACCTGGCTTGACAAATGCTGCATGTCTAGCTGATCTCCTGTTAAAGGGGGTCCATTAACCAGAGCATTAAGTAGAAACATGCCTAATAACTGAGGTACTGTGGGGGATGGGAGAGAGTTTGGAAATGTCACAAGAATAAAGCGACCTGGAATTTTGGTGATGGGCCTTGGGCTCCTGTGATAGGGTTGAGGTCTCCACACTCCTTCACCCTCTGTTCCCCTTGCAGGAAGGAGGGTGCTGGTGTAAAGCTGACGGATGGAACCAAACCTGGGACTTCGCTACACGAGCCTCCAGGCTTGAGCTATAAAGCCAGCTGGCTCTCAGCTAAGGCTGTAGAGCACACTCATTCTCTCGCTCTGTAAGTGGTCTAAGGGCTACTAGGTGGGACAGTGCACCACACCCATGAGGTATGTGGGTTATACTGGCACTCAGCAACAAGGGCACCATTTCAGGTACATGGGGGAGCAGCAACCGTGTGCTTCAAGATATGGCTCTCTTTTCATTTGTTCCCCAGATGCTAAGGGAGTGAGGGGAAGTGCTTGCATTCCTCACACCTGGCTGATGGGAGCTCACCAGACAGGTATGAGAGGCATGCACAGAATGCAAGCACTTTCCCCTCATTCCCTTAGCGTCTGGGGAATGGTATGAAAAGCAAGCACAACCCTGGAGCACATGGCTGCTGCCCCCCATATGCACCCAAAATGGCACCCTTGCTCTGCAAGCTGAGTCCTGAGGGGTAGGCTATGGATTACAGGATTAGGGGCCTTGTAATCCTGGTGCTTATTACAGGTTATATGGTAAGGAGCTTTGTAGTAACGGCACTGGAACCAGTTCAATGTGTGGTATGAGCGTATGGGTAACACACAGGTAGAGGCCCCTCCCCTGTGTTAACGTTTAATAAAAGGTACAGCCTGCCACTTAATTCCACACAGGGGTTTGTTCTCATTTTGCTGCTGAGTCCCCATTAAATGAAAGGAAGAGAAAACCAGAAAAAAAACAAGCTGAGGATGAGAAGTAGTGATAGGGGTTTGAGAGAGATGATTATGCAATTATTCAGTGAGGTCAAGATGGCGCATGTTTCCCATTTAAAAAAAATACATTGCAGAAGCACTGTTAGAAGTTCTGGTCATAACTGATGTTTCTGATTGAAGCTTGAAGTGCTTACTTCTTAGAGGACTGTCCGTCCCTATGGGTGCTCCACCTTAGGTGCTTTAGTGCCGCTGAGCCCAGGACGGAGATCTTTTACAGCAGTATCCTGGCCACACGTGCAGGAAGCCAGTGTGTGTTCTATACATGCTTCTGCGCATGCGTGACTGCCTCCCCCACTCTCCCTCAGTTCCTTCTCTACCACCAAAAATATTTGTAGAGCTGCTCACCAGAAACATTCTACTGTAAACAGGGCTCCTTTGGGCTTGTGAAAGCAAGGTGGCCATGTTGAATAAAGCTGTTATGACTGTACAGCTTCCTCTCTGGCAGAATACACAGCTGAGGACACTACTATACCTGTACAAATCACCAGGCTGGTCAATATTTCTGTACCCATACCAGGTTGAGGGCAATAACTCCCACTTCAGAATAACTCACTCCCTGTGAGTATGCAAAATAAATATTAATGATAAAATATTGAGGAATGAATTTGGAATGGGACAGTAATTAATCCCTACCCACATTGTTCACTGTATTCTTTTGATAGCAATACACATGAGGAAGGCTCTTACCAAAGAGAACAATTTCAGATGAACTCAATGTGAACATTAAAGATGTAGGTTTTGGAATGATATGGAAAAAATGATAGAGTTGATGTGCTTTTAATATCAAGCTGCTAAAAACCAGCAGTTTGTTTCTCCAGCATTGCAGCCAAGGCGGCAGGTTGGTGCCCAGTTTCCATGATCTCCCAGGATAATATGGCAACCATTTACAAAGCTCAGAGTCCTTCTAACTGCTGCTAACAAGAAGCCACAGAGCACAGAAGGAGGGTAGATCCACAAAGTCACTTGTGGTGGAAAGTGAGGAAGCTTCCATGCACTCTAGCATAGAGCAGAGTGCTACTAAACCAGCTCTTTGTTCAATCTTGACATGGTGCCTAACAGCATAGCAGTAAAATCTGCAGGAATGTCCCCCCCCCCCCCACGCATATAAATATCTACTTCATACCAAAAATTAAAAACAACAATATGGCTGTCATTAATAGAATGCATGTATACATACCCATGGGAAGGGGGCATGGAGGCCGTTTATTTGCGCACACACATTTGTTTTATGAATGCAGTATGGGGAGTTGGATCCCCTCCCCCGAGGAACTGTAATGCTTCTCATTTGTGTTCAGAGAGATGAGACACTCAACACATCCATGGATTTTTATTCTTCACCATATTTACACACTAACATATTCCACTCATCCTGATAATACATGTGTTAATTTATTTTTTTAAAAGTCCTCATCTACACTTGAAAGTCTCATTGCAGCTAGCCATTTGGCTCCATTAAGCATTCAGAAGGCACTTGGGCTTATTCTAGTTTTGCCTGAACTTCATCACTGTTCCTCCTTGCTCTCCACTTCCACCTAGTGCTGCAGTCTGTGCAGGTTAACAAATTGAAATTACTTCTACAGCTGCAGAACTCAATGCAAGGGGTGGAGGAGACAAATCAACCAATCCCTGCTTTTGAAAGAGTGAACTATTTTCTTCTTCCATGAGAGGGAAGGGCAGGTGGTGGTGGGTGGGATGAGGAAAAGGGCTAATCTTAAATGTCCCTTAGCATTTTTCAGGCACCTATCACTACTTCGGGAGTCATGATGAAAAAAATCAGAAGTCCAGTAGTGCTAACTTCTCTTCACGATGTAGAAATCAATGCTGTAGTTTGAATGTGTAGCTATGGGTGTCAAGTGGTGCAGAGCCTTGGGGTCATTTATGACTGTACATGAAGTTTGGAGGATTAGGTAGTGTTAGTTCCAGTTTTGCAAGAACAATAAAGTTACCACCCACAGCAAGCAGCAGTGAGTTTGTCCCCCTCTCGTGTCTGGGTTCAGATACACTCACCAAGCTTGCATGTGACTACCGTGCCTATGCAATAATTTAGCTTTAGGCTTGTCTTCTCTTTACAGCTTACTTTGACTTAGTTTGACATTACACTCTGGGAGCCCATTTAGAGGCAGTAATGTTTTATACCTGAGCTATTACTGTATCCTCATCTCTGGGAGGGTCCACCACCACATTGACTCTTACTCCAGCACATTACAAAGGCCACTTTATTCTTTGGTTAGAATAATAAAAGATCAGGGTTGGAAGAGACCTCAAGAGGTCATTTAATCCAACCCCTTGCTCAAAGCAGGACCTACCCCAACTAAATCTTAGCCAGGGCTTTGTCAAGGTTAGTCCTAGAAAATTTTAAGCGTGGAGATTCCAGAACCACCCAGGCAATTTTTCCAATGCTTCACTACCACCCTTTTGCTTTTAAGCTCAAATTGTGGGCTTGTCTATACTTACAGCATTGCACCAGTGGAGCTGTAAGGGTTAAAGAAAATGCTACTTAAATTGACAGAGGAGCATCTCCTACCAGCATAGTTACTCCACCTCCCCTAGAAGTAATAGCTATGTCAATGGGAGATGCTCTTCTATCAACATAGCACTTATGCCAGAGATGAAGTTGGTATAACTGTCATTCAGAGGTATGGATTTCCAACAAACTCCAGTTCAGGTAATTACATGTCTTATCTAAGACATTTGTTGGAGGAAGTTATTGTTTGCTTCTTTCTCTAAAGAGGGGTGGGGAGCCTAGGGCCAGGGGGCTGGATGAGACTGATTTCTGTGGTTCAGAAGCCCCAACCAAAAAAATATTCTTTACCCAGTCTTAAATTAAATCACTTCAGTAGCATGTAGACACCAGACAATTCTGTTCTTCTGAAAGCTAGCTGGAATTCTAGTGAAAGTGAATTGCTTCACAGCACACATACACAGTGTGGAGATCCTATATTGGGAGGTGGGGGGGAGGGGGATAAGAGACTTCTTGGTTGGTGTGGGGGTTGGTGTGGTCACCACCCCATATCTAGCTATATCTATACCTGTCAGCAGGGGCAGATGACTGTTTTGCGGGGCCCCGGGCAGCATAACTCTGCAGGCCCCCCCTTTGCCACAGCACATGCGTGGGGCTTTAAGCGCGGGGCCCAGGGCGGCCGCCCCATTAGCCCTGCCCTATATCTGCCCCTGCCTGTCAGACTCAGATATTAACATTAACCTTCAGTGTGGAATGGTGACAAGAATGCTTTTGTAACCAAACTGTAATGTCGGGCAATCTGTACTGATCCACTATATTAAATAGAACAAAAGGCCTCATCCAAATCCTTAACCAAGATGGAGAGAATTTCAACGGTGGGCTCTCCTTTTAAGGCAGAGTGACTGGTTTAGAATGGGACTGAGCCCACCCAAAACAGGCTGGCAGTTAACATGAGCCAATTATCCACATGTTCATTTTGGCACACACAGCACTAGAACACAAATATTTTCATGCCAGCATTGCAACTCAGAAAAACATTGTGTGCTGGGATCTTGCTTTCAGAACATGAGCTAAAGTTGGGTTCTCAACCTCATGTTTAGAACTCAGTTTGCTTGAGGTTGATGCCCACCCCCTTACATCTGTTTTTAGGGCACCCTTATCTAAGTAACTTTGAATCATAATGCATTCATTTACCACACACCTGGCATAGACAGGAAAGGACTGTAACCTAACAGTGCAGTACAGAGTGGCACTTCCAAGAGCAGGCATGAGGGTGACTCAGTTACTGTTTGCTTTGGTAAACACACATCCGACATTAGCAGCTCTGTTCATGTCCCAACTAAACACGTTTTCCCCAGTGGTCTTTATGTATTTGCACAGGTTGGACCTCCCTGCTCTGGCACCCTCAGGCCTGGACAAATCCTGAAGGAGGAAATTTGCCAGACCAAGAGAGGTCTCCTGTCATGGACCCTCAGCCTGCTGCCCCTCCCTGCCACTGGCTCATTCTACCCCATCTGGGTTGCCTGTTGGCTGTCCCCAGCCCCGGCTCCATGCGGCCCATGATGGGCTGCTGTGGCCCCAGCCCTGCTGCCAGGCAGCATGCAGTCCTGGCTGGGCTTCAGGGCTGCCCCTACCTCAGGCAGGTTGCTGCTGGCCTGGCTGATGCTGGGCTGCCAGCCCCACACCACCCAAGCCAACTGCAGCTGCAGCCCTGGTCCCCCTGGCTGGTACTGAGACACTGGTGGGCTGTAGTTGCCCTGGCTAGCCTGCCAATCAGGCTGCCTCAGCCTCACTACTGCTAGCCCCTCCCCAAGCTCCCAGACCGGCTACTGGCCTCCTACCCCAGGGCTCTCTCCTCCAGGAACATCCTTGGTCCTGCAGGACCACAGATGTTGCCAGACCAGAGAGTTCAACTTGTATTTCAGTAGTGCTGAGGGTCCCAATAA